CTAGTGTTGTGCTTTTGGAGCCCAATTAAAACAAAATAATAAGAAAATATTACATTTTTGAATTTTGCTGAATTTTTTTACAATTATTGGTCATTTCACCTCATAAATGAAGGAGTCCGAAGGGGTTAGAAGGGCGAAACTTTTCTTGAAGTCTAGTGGGGTCTAGTCAAGTGATTTCAGAAAAAAATTGCAACTGTAAGACCATCTATAATATTGAAGAATTTTTTTCGTTTTTTCACCATTTTACCCCATAAACGAAAGGATCTGAAAGGGTTGCAAGGGCGAAACTTTTTTTGTATTCTAGTGGGGTCTAATATAAGTGATTTATAAAAAAAATTATATCTGTAAGACCATCTGTAATTTTGCTAAATTTTTTTTCGTTTTTTGGCCATTTTACTCCATAAACGAAGGGAAGCAAAGGGTTTAGGGGCACGCAAATTTTTTTACAGCTTACTGGTATCGAATGCAACTGAGTTGTGCAATAAAATTTCTCCCCCAAGCTTTTTCCAATTTTTAAGAAATTTTTAAGAAATTTTTTTTAATTTTTAGGACAATTTACTCTATAAACGAAGGGAAGCGAAGGGTTTAAGAACCTGCAAATTTTTTCACAGCTTACTGGTATCGAATGCAACTGAGTTGTGCAATAAAATTTCTCCCCCGAGCCTTTTCCGATTTTTAAGAAATTTCTAAGAATTTTTTTTAATTTTTAGGACAATTTACTTTATAAACGAAGGGAAGCGAAGGGTTTAAGGGCACGCAAATTTTTTTACATCTTTCTGGCATCGAATGCAACTAAGTTGTGCAATAAAATTTTTCCCCCGAGCCTTTTTCTATTTTTAAGAAATTTTTTAAGAATTTTTTTTTAATTTTTGGGACTATTTTACTCCATAATCGAAGGGAAGCGAAGGGTTTAAGGGCACGCAAATTTTTTTACATCTTCCTGGCATCGAATGCAACTAAGTTGTGCAATAAATTTTTTCCCCCGAGCCTTTTCCAATTTTTAAAAAACTTTTTATTAATTTTTTTTTTAATTTTTGGGACAATTTACTTTATAAACGAAGGGAAGCGAACGGTTTAAGGGCACGCAAATTTTTTTACATCTTCCTGGCATCGAATGCAACTAACTTGTGCAATAAAATTTTTCCCCCGAGCCTTTTCCAATTTTTAAAAAACTTTTTATTAATTTTTTTTTTAATTTTTGGGCCAATTTACTTTATAAACGAAGGGAAGCGAAGGGTTTAAGGGCACGCAAATTTTTTTACATCTTTCTGGCATCGAATGCAACTAAGTTGTGCAATAAAATTTTTCCCCCGAGCCTTTTCCAATTTTTAAGAAATTTTTTATTAATTTTTTTTTTAATTTTTGGGTTAATTTACTCCATAAACGAAGGGAAGCGAAGGGTTTAAGGGCACGCAAATTTTTTCACAGCTTACTAATATTAAATGCAACTAAGTTAAGCAATAAAATTTTTCCCCCGAGCCTTTTCCAATTTTTAAAAAATTTTTTATTAATTTTTTTTTTAATTTTTGGGCCAATTTACTTTATAAACGAAGGGAAGCGAAGGGTTTAAGGGCACGCAAATTTTTTTACATCTTTCTGGCATCGAATGCAACTAAGTTGTGCAATAAAATTTTTCCTCCGAGCCTTTTCCAAATTTTAAAAAACTTTTTATTAATTTTTTTTTTTAATTTTTGGGACAATTTACTTTATAAACGAAGGGAAGCGAAGGCTTTAAGGGCACGCAAATTTTTTTACATCTTCCTGGCATCGAATGCAACTAAGTTGTGCAATAAAATTTTTCCCCCGAGCCTTTCCAATTTTTAAGAAATTTTTTATTAATTTTTTTTTTAATTTTTGGGACAATTTACTTTATAAACGAAGGGAAGCGAAGGGTTTAAGGGCACGCAAATTTTTTTACATCTTCCTGGCATCAAATGCAACTAAGTTGTGCAATAAAATTTTTCCCCCGAGCCTTTTTTAATTTTTAAAAAATTTTTTTTTAATTTTTTTTTAATTTTTGGGACTATTTTACTCCATAAACGAAGGGAAGCGAAGGGTTTAAGGGCACGCAAATTTTTTTACATCTTCCTGGCATCGAATGCAACTAAGTTGTGCAATAAAATTTTTCCCCCGAGCCTTTTCCAATTTTTAAGAAATTTTTTATTAATTTTTTTTTTAATTTTTGGGACAATATACTTTATAAACGAAGGGAAGCGAAAGGTTTAAGGGCACGCAAATTTTTTTACATCTTTCTGGCATCAAATGCAACTATGTTGTGCAATAAAATTTTTCCCCCGAGCCTTTTCCAATTTTTAAAAAACTTTTTATTAATTTTTTTTTAATTTTTGGGACAATTTACTTTATAAACGAAGGGAAGCGAAGGCTTTAAGGGCACTCAAATTTTTTCACAGCTTACTAATATTAAATGCAACTAAGTTTTGCAATAAAATTTTTCCCCCGAGCCTTTTCCAATTTTTAAAAAATTTTTTATTAATTTTTTTTTTTAATTTTTGGGCCAATTTACTTTATAAACGAAGGGAAGCGAAGGGTTTAAGGGCACGCAAATTTTTTTACATCTTTCTGGCATCGAATGCAACTAAGTTGTGCAATAAAATTTTTCCCCCGAGCCTTTTTTAATTTTTAAAAAATTTTTTATTAATTTTTTTTTAATTTTTGGGACTATTTTACTCCACAAACGAAGGAAAGCGAAGGGTTTAAGGGCACGCAAATTTTTTTACATCTTCCTGGCATCGAATGCAACTAAGTTGTGCAATAAAATTTTTCCTCCGAGCCTTTTCCAATTTTTAAAAAATTTTTTATTAATTTTTTTTTTAATTTTTGGGCCAATTTACTTTATAAACGAAGGGAAGCGAACGGTTTAAGGGCACGCAAATTTTTTTACATCTTTCTGGCATCGAATGCAACTAAGTTGTGCAATAAAATTTTTCCCCCGAGCCTTTTCCAATTTTTAAAAAACTTTTTATTAATTTTTTTTTTTAATTTTTGGGACTATTTTACTCCATAAACGAAAGGAAGCGAAGGGTTTAAGGGCACGCAAATTTTTTTACATCTTTCTGGCATCGAATGCAACTAAGTTGTGCAATAAAATTTTTCCCCTGAGCCTTTTCCAATTTTTAAAAAAATTTTTATTAATTTTTTTTTAATTTTTGGGACAATTTACTTTATAAACGAAGGGAAGCGAACGGATTAAGGGCACGCAAATTTTTTTACATCTTCCTGGCATCGAATGCAACTAAGTTGTGCAATAAAATTTTTCCCCCGAGCCTTTTCCAATTTTTAAAAAACTTTTTATTAATTTTTTTTTTTAATTTTTGGGACAATTTACTTTATAAACGAAGGGAAGCGAACGGTTTAAGGGCACGCAAATTTTTTTACATCTTCCTGGCATCGAATGCAACTAAGTTGTGCAATAAAATTTTTCCCCCGAGCCTTTTCCAATTTTTAAAAAACTTTTTATTAATTTTTTTTTTTAATTTTTGGGACAATTTACTTTATAAACGAAGGGAAGCGAACGGTTTAAGGGCACGCAAATTTTTTTACATCTTTCTGGCATCAAATGCAACTAAGTTGTGCAATAAAATTTTTCCCCCGAGCCTTTTTCAATTTTTAAAAAATTTTTATTAATTTTTTTTTTAATTTTTGGGACAATTTACTTTATAAACGAAGGGAAGCAAAGGCTTTAATGGCACTCAAATTTTTTCACAGCTTACTAATATTAAATGCAACTAAGTTGTGCAATAAAATTTTTCCCCCGAGCCTTTTCCAATTTTTAAAAAACTTTTTATTAATTTTTTTTTTTAATTTTTGGGACTATTTTACTCCATAAACGAAAGGAAGCGAAGGGTTTAAGGGCACGCAAATTTTTTTACATCTTCCTGGCATCGAATGCAACTAAGTTGTGCAATAAAATTTTTCCCCCGAGCCTTTTCCAATTTTTAAAAAACTTTTTATTAATTTTTTTTTTTAATTTTTGGGACAATTTACTTTATAAACGAAGGGAAGCGAACGGTTTAAGGGCACGCAAATTTTTTTACATCTTCCTGGCATCGAATGCAACTAAGTTGTGCAATAAAATTTTTCCCCCCAGCCTTTTCCAATTTTTAAAAAACTTTTTATTAATTTTTTTTTTTAATTTTTGGGACAATTTACTTTATAAACGAAGGGAAGCGAAGGCTTTAAGGGCACGCAAATTTTTTTACATCTTCCTGACATCGAATGCAACTAAGTTGTGCAATAAAATTTTTCCCCCGAGCCTTTTCCAATTTTTAAAAAATTTTTTTTAATTTTTAGGACCATTTTACCCCATAAACGAGGGGAGCCGAAGGGTGTAGGGGGGCGCAAATTTTTTTACAGCTTTCTGGCTGTGAATGCAATCGATTTGTGCAATAAAATTTTTCCCCCGAGCCTTTTTCTATTTTTAAGAAATTTTTTTTAATTTTTTGGACCATTTTACCCCATAAACGAGGGGAGCCGAAGGGTGTAGGGGGGCGCATATTTTTTTACAGCTTCCTGGCTGTGAATGCAATTGATTTGTGCAATAAAATTTTTCCCCCGAGCTTTTTTCTATTTTTAAGAAATTTTTTTTAATTTTTGGGACCATTTTACCCCATAAACGAGGGGAGCCGAAGGGTGTAGGGGGGCGCAAATTTTTTTACATCTTTCTGGCATCGAATGCAACTAAGTTGTGCAATAAAATTTTTCCCCCGAGCTTTTTTCTATTTTTAAGAAATTTTTTTTAATTTTTTGGACCATTTTACCCCATAAACGAAGGGAACCGAAGAGGGTAGGGGGACAAAAATTTATTTTTAGGTGTTGGTTATCATTTGGGACAATCTCACGTTGAAAAAAATTTACTTTTTTTATTTTTAATTTTTCGTTTTCAAAAACGTTTCGAACTTCAGCCTCATATTTCCTCTTTGAAATACATAATAAAATTCTGTATTCATTTATGAATGATAAAAATTATGAATGTAATGAAGCTGCGCTTTAGATATTGAAGCTAATGTAGATAGTGAAGCTAATAAAGTTAGTGAAGAGAATATTGCTAGTGAAGCTAATATAGATAATGAAGCTAATGCAGACAGTGATTTTAATGTAGATAGTGAAGCTAACAAAGATAATGAAGCTAATGCAAATAATGTAGAAGCTAAATCTAATATAGCTAATGAAGCTAGTATAAAAAATGAAGCTAATATAGGAATTGAAGCTAATAAAAATAATGAAGACAATGAAGTTAATGATGATGTTGTTGCTAATGTTGATAGTGAAGCTAATGAAGACAGTGATTCTAATGTAAGTAGTGAAGCTAACGTAAATAATGAAGCTAATGTAAATAATGTAGATGCTGAAGGTAATATAGATGATGAAGCTAATGTAAAAAATTAAGTTAATATAGATGAAGATAATACAGACTTTGAAGCTTATAAGCTAATATAGGCACTGAAGCTAATAAAAATAATGAAGACAATGAAGTTAATGTTGTCGCTAATGTAGATAATGAAGCTACGGTTGATAGTGAAGCTAATTTAGATAACGAAGCTAATATTAATAGTGAAGCTAATGCAGATAATGAAGGTAGTGTAAATAATAATGCGAATATAAATAATGAAGCTAGTACAAATAATGAAACTCTAATACAGATAATTCGGCTAATATAAATAGTGAAGATAATAAAGCTAGTGTAAATAATGAAGCTAATAAAAATAGTATGGATAATGAAGCTAGTGTCAATGAAGCTAATGAAAATAAAGAAGCTAATATAAGGAATGAAGGTATTAAAGGAATTAAAAGTGATTGAAGCATTGAAGGTATTGAAGTAGTTGAAATATTGAAGGTATTGAAGATACTTGAAGTATTGAAGGTATTGACGATAATTGAAGTAGTTGAAGTATTGAAGTACCTTCAATCGAAGGTACATAATTGAAGCTATAGAAGAAAGTTGAAATATTATATTAAAACTAACCCCCAAAAAAAAATGTGAGAAAAATTTTCTTTTCAAACAGACTATACGTTTCGTTTGATGAGAAAAATTTGCTCCTTGCCAGAGAGATTTTCGATAAACTCTCTCGCGTGCCGGAACATTTTCGAGAAGAGGGAAGAAGAAAATGTCTATTAATGAGACGCGTCAATTGTTTTTTCCCCCAGTGTTGCGTTGTCCCTCTCTCTCTCTCTCGCTCTCTTTCTTTTCGTCTCCACTCCCCACCTGTCTCCCTTGCCCTTCGCCTAAAGTCTTGGGTCCCCTTCGCTATGTATAAAGTCTTTTATAATGTCCGCACACCGCCGGTGGTGTCTTCTCTCTGTCTCAAATGGCGGTGGCTTTTACTCTTACTGGCATAAGTCGTCTCGATTACCCACCTGACTCTCCTGGTTGAATTAGAAAGAAAAGAAGAGAAAGAGAGAAGGAGCACCTGTCGTTTTTAAAACGAAGGGAAACATGTGTGGTGGAGGAGGAAATGACGATAATTTTTTAGAAAAATTTATGTAATTTGTTCCTTTCTTTTTCTTCTTTTGTCTCTGGTTCAAATTTTTCTTATTCTTCTTCCTCCTCTCTGTCTGATTTTACTCGTTTTTTCGTAGTTCTCATTTTTTTTCTTTCTCTTTCCCCCCTTCTTTGTCTTTTCCTTCCTCTTCTTTTCTTCTTCTTTTTTTTCTTCTTCCCTTTGTCTTTTGCAACTTCTTCTTCCCCTTTTTTACCTTTTCTTCTTTTTCCCCCCTCTGTCTTTTCCATCCTCTTCTTTTCCTCTTCCCTTTTTTTTACAACTTCTTCTTCCTCTTTTTACCTTTTCTTCAGTACTTTCCTCTTCCTTTCTTCCTTCTTCTTTTTTCTATCTTCTTTCTTTTTACCCTTCTCATTTCTTCTTTTCGTCTTTCGCCTTATATTCCACCTATTTCTCTTCCTTCCTCTTCTCCTTTATTTTTTCGACCTTTTTCCTTTCTTTCTTCTCCTTTGTCTTCTGTTTCTTCTTCTTTAACTTCTTCCGATTTTTTCCCCTTTTTTTCGTCCTTCGTTTCTTTTTCTTTCTTTCTTCTCCTTTGTCTTTTGTTTCTTCTTCTTCTCCTTTGTCTAAATTCTATTTATTGCTTCTTTGCTTCCCCTTTTTTTTCTTTTTTTTTCTTTAAATAAGAGGGATTTTCTTTCTCTACCTCTTCTCTTTATTTTCTTACCTCCATTTTCATTTTGTCCTCTTTTATTCTTCTATTATTCCGTCCTTCTTTTTCTTCCCTTGGTCCTTCCCTATACTTTTAATACTTTTCCTACTTTTTCTTTATTTTCCTCTTTCTCTCCTTCAAATTCTTTTTTCTCTTTTCCCCTTTTCTTCCTCTTTTTCGTTTTTTTCTTTTCCTTTTTTCTCCTTTTTCTATGTTTCTTCCACAATTTCACCTTTCTCTTCTCCTTTTTCTTTCTTCCATTTTTTCAACCTCCCTCTTCTTTTTCTTTTGTTTCCTCTTCCCCTTTTTTTCTTCTCTTCTTTGACCTTTTCCTTCTTCTTCACCTCTTTTTTCTTCTTTTTTTCCTTCTCCCTTCTTTTTTACTTCCTCTTTTTTCTTCTTTTCTTTGACCTATCCCTTCTTCTTCGCCTCTTTTTTCTTCTTTTCTTTCTTCTCCCTCCTTTTTTACTTCCTCTTTTTTTTCTTTTCTTCTTTCTTTATTCCACTTTCTCCCTCCTTTTTTACTTCCTCTTTTTTTCTTTTCTTCTTTCTTTATTTGACTTTCTTCTTTTTCTTTTTCCTTCTTCTTCTTCTCCTTTAACCACCTTTTCTCCCTTCTTTTCCTTCTATTCTTTCTTCCTACTCCTTCTCTAGTGCTCTTCTCAATATCTCCTTCAATTTTTTCTTCCTCCTCGATTTTCCCTTTTTCTCCCCCCATTCACTGATTTTTTCTTTCTCCAAATAGAATTTTTTCCTTTAATCTTTCTTTTTTTCTTCATTTTCTCCTCTTTCTCTTTTTAATATCACTTCCAACTTCCTTCTCTTTCTTTAATATTTCCTTGAACTTTATTTATTTCTTTACTTTATTTTTTTCATAAAATTTTTCTAATTTAAAAAGGAGAGAAGTGGTTCAAAAAAAGAAGAAGGGAAAGAGAATGGAAGAAGAGAAGGAGAAAAGAGGCTGGAAAGAAAGGAGAAGAGAAAGATAGAGAGAAAGATAGAGAAGGAAAATGAAGAGAGGGGGGAAAAAGAGAATGAAGAGAGGAGAACGAGAAAGAAGGTGAGAAAGAAAGAAATGAAGAAATGAAAGAGGAAGAGAAACGAGAATGAGCGAAAAAAAGTTTTTTTCCTTTCTCTCTCTCTCTCTCTCTCTCTCTCTCTCTCTTTCTCTCACGGTCGTTAGCCAGACGCGAATCGATGCCTGCAATTGAAGACTATACGGCATAGAAAGAGAGCAAAAAAAAAAGAAGGCAGGCAGGAAAGAAAGAAACAAAAAAAAAACGAGAAAAAGAAAAAAAAATGAGACGCGTCTCTAAATCCGGAAAACCTCCAAGTCTCGCGTAGAAATCGAGAGCCGTTAACATGAACGCGTTTGATAAATACTTTTTGCACATCGGCGTCAAGCGGAAACTCATTCGCCGATATGCATGAATATATGTATATATGTATGTAGTTATGTATTCACACCTCTTTTTTCTATTTTTATTTTTTTTTTTTATTTATTTATTCATATTTCTCTATTTCGTTTTTATTTTTGTAGAACTATTTTTTAATTATTTTTTTTATATATATTACAAAAAGAATATAATTAAAAAAAAGCGGAATTAATAAATAAAAATGTTTATTTATTGTTGTATATTATTAGTAGTTCTAGTAGTCACTACTAGTGTTCGTTACCGCAGTAGTAGTCACTACTAGTATAAGGAACCATTAGTTGTCACCATTATTATTGATTGTTACTACTATTAATGGTTTATTATTAGTAGTTCTAGTAGTCACTACTTGTGTTCGTTATCAGTAGTAGTCACTACTAGTATAAATAACCATAAGTTGTCACCACTATTAATGGTAGTAGTTATCACTACTATTAATGGTAGTTACTACTAGTATTATCTATTTGTAATAACAACTACTATTAGTAGTAAATATTACTAGTATTATTTACTAGTAGTAATCACTACTAGTTTTAGTTACCATTAGTTGTCATCAGTATTATTGATTGTTACTACTATTAATGGTTTATTATTAGTAGTTGTAGTAGTCACTTCTAGTATTCGTTACCAGTAGTAGTAGTAGTCACTACTAGTATTCGTTACCAGTAGTAGTATTCACTACTAGTATTAGTTATTAGTAGTAGTCACTGCTAGGATTATTTATCAGTAGTAGCCACTTATCTTATCTTCTAATAGTCACTACTATTAATTATAGTAGGCAGTAGTCTTAGAAGTAGTCACTACTATTAGTAGTATCATAAAATTATTAATTAGAAATTTCTTAATTTCTTAATCATAATTTTTTAACAAATTAATAATTTTCTATTTTCCATAAATAGAAAAATTTACTTAATTTTGTTATAAAAAAAGAAATGATTTTTTCGAAATAAATTCTTAAAAATTCGGATAAGAATCTTGATAAATATGATTTTTATAAATTGAAAATAGGAAAAATAATTTTATTAAAATAAAGTCAAGTCAGATATATATATTAGAAAAAGATTGATGTCTATATTATATTTCCCCAAAGGGATATTATTGTGTACACATATATATATTTTGATGAATTACCCGAAAGTAGAGAAAGGAGGAAGTAGAGAAAAAGAACATCTGATAAAAATAGGGGTACGAAGAAAAATTGTTGAGACTTTTCTATTGATAAAAATGACCACAATATAAAAGAAAAGTTTTAGATTCATTATCTCATAAATCCAAAAGTGAATTCAGAGTAATAAAATTTGATGGAGTTGTATTCTTTAAAAGAGCATCAGTTTCCTTTTTGTAACAAAAAAAAAAAAAAAAAAAAAAAAAAAACAAGAGAGAGAAAGAAATATCTAACCACGCGCTTTATATGAAGACTGACAGAATTTTTATTAACATTTTTTTTAATGCGCTCATCCTTGAGAAAAACCCACCCGCGTCTTCTGTTTAGATGACGTTGTCGAAAAAAAAGATTTTATTGCTCCTTAAAAGAAAAAAAAATTAGACACTAGAAAGAATGTGACGAAGAATGATTTTTTTTCTCATCCACTTAAAGTCATATACAAAATGAAACACAAAAAAAAATGGAGTTCAAATAAAGCAATTAAAAATTAAGAGAGAAAAAATTCCAAAATTTTCAATCGTAAAATTAAACTTGTGTTTTTTATGGTGGAAATAAAAATTTTCCAATTTTTTTTTTAAATTTATAAAATGTGTTATATGCGTTAAATTCTGTTGAGAAAGAAAGAAAGAGAGAGAGAGAGAGAGAGAGAGAGAGAGAGAGAGAGAGAGAGAAATTTTCTCGTATAAGAAATTAATAGGCAATAAAAAATTTGTTTTAACACAAATAGTATTTCTATTTATACTAAAAAGAAAAAAGGTTCAGAAAATTTATTTCAAAAGAAGTTACAAATAGATTCCGAAGAGATAAAAATAAAAACAAAAAAAAATTCCGAGAATTTATAGAAATTAACTATCTTCAAGTGCAGCGAACAATTTTTTATTAAATCGAAAATTATTTTTAATAAAAATTCTAACAAAATAAATTTATGAACCTATAAGAGACAAAATTTTTCGACTATAGATGTTAATTAGAAAAAAATTTTCGAGATTTATATGAAATTAAAAATGAAAAAAGAAAATAAAAAAAGATGCAATATAATTTAATGGTAATATTATGTTAATATCACCATTTGCCGCGTGGCTAATTGAAAGGTTAAAAGCTGCTCGCAAATATTATGTAAGTATTTTGCAATTTGTGATGCAGTGAATTAGAAAGTATATCGATATACAGATGTCACGGTTTTGAAAGATTTTTCTATTTCACGGTGCCAACAATTATAATGATAATAAAATAATAATAAAAAAAGTAAAATAATAATTTTATCATGAGAAAATAATAACAAGAAGAAATAATAATAAGAAATAGAAGAATAAAGAAATAAAAACAGTAATAAGAAATTGTAACAACATCAGGAAGAAAATAATTTAATGATAATAATAATAATTACTAGTATTAGTTGCAAGTAGTAATCACTACTAGTAACCACTACGCTTCTCAAAAATTATAATCAAACTCCTTAAAATGATTCAATTATTTTCAAATTCCTTAAAATGATTCAATTATTTTCAAAAACTGTTCGAAATTCAATTATTTTTAATTTCTAGTATTTTCATAAAATTTGGTAAAAGAATTCAATTATTTTAAAAAAATTGATAAAATTCATCCAAAATTCAATTATTTAAAAAAAATTGATAAAATTCAATTATTTTCATAAATAATAAAATTTCTACAGGAATTCAATTAATTAAGAAAAACATTCAAAAAAATTTCCAAAAAAATCAATTATTTAACAAAATTTTTATACAATTCTTCACAATAATTCAATAACTTTCACTAATAAAAACATTTTTCATAAAAATTCAATTTTTTATAAAAATTTTTCATAAAATTCGAAACAAGAATTTAATTATTTTCATAAATAATAAAACTCATCAAAGAATTTTAATTATTTTTAATAGGATTTTAAATTAATTAATCGAAAAATTCAATTATTTTCACAAATAAAGTCTTTCACAAAAATTCAATTATTTAAAATAAAATTTTCATAATATTTATATTATATTTCGAAAATATTAATTATTTAAAAGAATGTTTATAAAATTCTTATGATGAATTCAATTATTTTCGAAAATAACAAAATTTTTCACAGAAATTCAATTTTTTTTAAACATTTTAATAAAATTTTTCGCAATAATTCAATTATTTTTATAAATAATAAAATTCATTGCAGAATTTCAATTATTTTTAATACAATTTTACAGAAATTGATCAAAAAAATTTAATTATTCTCAAAATTTTAATTTCAATTTCTCGAAAAAAAACAATTATTTAAAAAAATGTTTTTTTAAAAATTTTTTTCGAAGAATTCAATTATTTACAAAAATAGTAGACTTTTTCACAGGAATTCAATTATTTTCAAATATTTTAATAAAATTGATCGAAAGAAATTAATTATTTTAAATTGAATTTTAATTAAATTTTTTGGAATAATTCAATTATTCTTTTAAATTTTAATTAAATTCTTCCCGAAAATTCAATTATTGTGAGGCATTTTAATAAAATTCTTTGCAAAATTCAATTATTTTCATAAATAATAAAATTCATCTCAGGATTTCAATTATTTTTAATACAATTTTACAGGAATTGTTCGAAATATGTAATTATTGTTAAAAATTTAATTTCAATTCCTCGAAAAAGTCAATTATTTAAAAAAATGTTTTTTTTAAATTCTTTAGAAGAATTTAATTATTTATAAAAATATTAGATTTTTCACAAGAATTCAATTATTTTTGAAAATATTAGATTTTTCACAAGAATTCAATTATTTTTGAAAATGTTAGATTTTTCACAAGAATTTAATTATTTTTGAAAATTTTAATAAAATTTTTCGAAAGAAATCAATTATTTCAAATACAATTGAACGCCTTGATGCAAGAACCAGACATAGCTCCGAGAAAAGAGTGGGGGGTTGTCCCCTGGCAATAAAATATTTAACTTCAAAATTTTGGAATTTTTAAATTTTATTTTTATAAAGAATAAAAAACTGCATCTTTTTTTCCTTTGAGAAAAAGTTGTAGGATTAATATTTTTTTAAATAAAATTGAAAAAATTGTTTTTTCTCAAACGAATTTTTAATTAAAATTTCATCTTCAACTCGCTGCCAAATCTACAATTTTGCATATTTTTCAATCAAATTTGGAATGGACACACTTTATATTATCCTTTTTGAGCATATATGTTTTAAAAATTTATATGTTTGTTTATAAACAAACTAAAAAATATTTATTAGCCAATGGTAAAATTTCAACACCATAATCTTTGAACGCTTCGTTTATCGAGGAAATTTTGAGCAAATAAAAACTTCCAGTGAAGAAGTTGTTCAAAATAGTATAAAAAAGTTTTCTGGAAATTATTAAATTATCAAAATTGATAGAAAAAATTCTAACAACGTTTAACTTTTCTCGCGCGGCGTACTCTAACGTAACGAACTTCTATATCTGGCGGAGCCAGCCAGGACTGTCTGTTTTTTCATTTCACAGCTTAGAATAA